CCCAAAAATAAAATAAAAACGTTGAAGAAAAAAAAAATTTTTTTAAAAAAGAAAGCCTGAGCCCTGTACATAATCACTGGCTCTCCAAACCTGCATTCCCAGTCACTATCAACCAACCCAAATTCCGGCCAAGATTGCAAATAGGCCATGTGATTCATATTGAAGCGATGAGACCACTCTTTTACCCACTACTTGAATTCCTGCACCTCTGATCCCTTAACAGGCCTAGTGCTTTGGAGACCATCAAAGGGCTAGGCCCCACCAGCCCAGTGGCACCTGCTCCCGATGACCAGAGCCCAATGGACTTTCCTTCAACAGGAGGTTCTGAGGATGAGCATCTTCAGTAGGAAGAGATTTAGGTCTTGGGTGAGCATGTGTGGGAGAGGGACCCTGGAAAATGGGGCAGAAGAGAAGCTTGAGATTCTGAGGAACAACCTTTTTGAAATCTCCCCAAGGTGGCATCTCCAGCTAGTGGGGAAAAGCTGGTCTAGTAAATGACATTGAGACCACTGAACAGCCACCTACAAATGAGAAAAGGATCGATCACAAATGGATTCAAGATTTACACGTGAAAAAATGTAACCGTGGAAGTTCTACAAGAAACCTGGAAAGAATTTCTTCATTACTTCCAAGTGGAAAACGACCTTACTTTGCCTTGAAACCCAGAAGCCATAAAGGAAAAGGGTGATAAATCTGGCCACATAAAGAAAACTTCTACAGGGCAAAACATACCACAACGCAATAAAAAAAAAAATGCAGACAAACGGAAAAGTTGTTTGCAACTCAAGTCAGAGGCACGAGGTCAGTTTTCCCAATATGTAGGGAACTGATCTAGGAACTGATGCATAAAAGACCAACAATACAATAGAAAAACTGGCAAAGGGTATGAACAGATATCACACAGGAAATACAAAGGGCTCTTTGAGAAAAGATGCTTCACTGTACCACACTGAAATGTAGAGAGTGAGGGAGACATAGAATCCACAGCAGGCGCCAGGCTCCGAGGTGTCAGCACAGACGCAGGGCTCGAACCCATGAACCATGAAATAAATCATGACCCGAGCCGAAGTCGGATGCTCCACCGACTGAGCCACCCAGGTGGCCCGGTATGTTTGTAATATCAAATGTCCATCAATAGGGGATTGGTTAATTAAACCTCAGTATATCCTTACAATGGAACATTAATAAGCCATAAAATATAATATATACTTGTATTGACGCCTATGTTACCTATCTACCTAGATACAAAAAGACTTCCAAGACAATATGAAGAAAAAAGGCAAGGGATAGAACACCGTATACCACATGCATGGTAGGCTTCATACCGCTTGTGTTTGCGTGAGGGGATTCTGGAAGGATGCTTGAGAAAACAGGTAGGGAAACCGGGCAGATGGAAAACATGTGAGCAGGAGGGACACTAGGCATTGAATGTGTTCTCCTTGGACGCTGCGAAAGGGTTACTTAAAAAACAATTCCCTTGAGACCAACAGCTGAGCGTATTTGCTTGAATTAAACAGGAAGGACATAACTTCAAAACAAAACAGGATGGAAACAGCTTGAGTCAGTGGTTAAGGCATTTAATTTAATTGGCGGTTTGGGAGCAAAGGAGTTGCCTTTTATCTTCGGTTTACTGTGTGCTCCGAAGCAAGCCTGCCCACATTTCTCACCACACTGTAATCACCCTGCTGCAATCGCTGTATCAGAGCCAGGAAGTGAACTTCTCAGCTTCTAATTGTCGGGAGAAAGACTTCAGACACTTTCAATCCACCTCACCCCACAGAGCGCGCACAGAAAGCAACTTAATTTATAGCAACTTGAAAACTTAAGTTGCAGGGGCGCCTGGGTGGCTCAGTCGGTTAAGCGTCCGACTTCGGCTCAGGTCACGATCTCGCGGTCCGTGAGTTCAAGCCCTGCGTCGGGCTCTGTGCTGACAGCTCAGAGCCTGGAGCCTGCTTCAGATTCTGTGTCTCCCTCTCTCTCTGACCCTCCCCTGCTCATGCTCTGTCTCTTTCTCAAAAATAAACAAACATTAAAAAAAAAGAAAGAAAGAAAACTTAAGTTGCAGAAAAGTAGAATAAGGTGCAAATCAAATCCCCCGAGCGCGGAGATACAAGGAGTCACAGAAATGCAGCAGCCAAAGCACAAAACCTGAAGCACAAACCAGACGGAGACAGAGCCACCTGAAATGGCCCTTCATGCCAATCCCCGGTGGCACCATTCCAACAAGTCTGAGCGGCTTGAGGTCCTGATGCCCCCTTGCTCGCTGAAACAGATTCCACCCCCCCCCCCAACCCCTTAGCTCAGCGAGTCTTGCTATGAGAAAGTTTGGACACTCTACATCAGTGCCAACGTCAACAAGGGTTCGATGTTGACGGTTCTCTCTCCACGAATAACTAATGAAACGTCATGGGGAATCCCTTCCTTTGAAAAGCAGGGCCCTGTGTGGAGGAGAGCGGAGACTCAGCAGCCCGTGGTCTTGGCCCTCGGAGGACCCGCGATGGGTTGACCCGCTGGTTGCAACTTCTGGACTGCTCGTGCCCGGATGGAATGGTGTCTGTCACGGTGTCTCCAGATGGCCCTGCAAGGCTGCCTGTGGTCCAGGACAATGTGCTCCCCTCTCAAAAGTACCTGCCATTCTGGAGAAAATCTGGCTTTCATTAAAAGCCACTTTTGCTCTTAAATCCCAGAGGTTTTTCTAGGATTAACCCAGGAATGTCATCTTGGAAAACCACTTCCTTCTGTAACCTGTTTGTAAGTAGTCTCTAATTCAAGTTAAGTATCGCTTTTCAGACCAAAATGCCCTTGTTAAATTTTGATTTTTGAGTAGGTTCCCATGGTTCAAAATCCATCATGCATTAAAAAAAAAAATCTGTATCGATGAGTCTCCCCGTGGAGGCACCCCATCGGTTCCGTTCCCACCCTCCCCCTCAACGGCAAACCACTGCCCTCAGCCTCTTTACAAATCTCTCCAAGCACAAACCTACTCTATTTACCTCCCTTTATTTTTCATAAAAAGTAACACGCTACACATACCATTCGCACCTTACTTTTTACTCACGTCTGTTTTGGTGCCCTTCCGTCTAAGAGACCTTCCCCATTCACTTTCTGCAGCTGCCCAGCGTGTCCTTTAGGAATGCGCCATATTGGATTTACCCATCCCCTGTGAATGGGTATGTGGATTACCTGAAATCTTTCACGAACGTAAACAACACTGCAGGGAATCACTGTGTGTGTGCGTTACTTTGCATTTGTGGGAGTATCTGTGGAATAAATCTCATGGAGTAGAATTCCTGGGTCAAAGGGTCCAGGCCGTTGTCATTCCGACAGATGCTGTCAGATGCCCTTCCGAGAGGCTGCGCTGGGTTACGCTCCCACCATCAGTGCGCGCACCTATTTCTACGGGCACATCACCGAACTGCATTTTTGCTAAGCCAGTAAGTGAAAATGGTATTTCAGCGGGACATTTGCTGTTACCGTGAGTGAGGCGGGGCGCCTTTTCCTATGCCTAAGGGCTGTCTGTGTTCGTTGCCCATTTCTCTGTCGGGCTGTCCCAAGATGCCCCTTTTAGCAGCAAGAGCCATGGCCAGTGCACCCTGCTGCTATTTCAGAGCTGCTCTCCGGAGCCAGGGAGGACCAGGAATGAAGAAACTGGCTGGATTCACTCAGGCAGGTGAACAGAGAGGGTACTGCACTTCCTATTGAGACACTCGTCTTCTGAGGCATAGCTTTTGTCTGCCAGCACGCTGTCCCTTTCCCACTGTTCTACAAACACCTCTCTCGCGAGTGGGAAGCCAACAAGACGAATTGGCACGTGACTCACAGGGGCCCAAAGAATCTCTCCCCTCTGACTACTGGGATCGGTCAAGGGATTGTTACGTGATCCACGCCTGCCCGATGGGAGCCATCCCACCAGGTGTCCAGGGAAAGAAAACCACCTTCTTTTTACTGGGTTCCCTATCTTGAAGGACAAGGTAGGGCGAGTCCGCCACATAAGGAAAGCTTGCTTGGGAAGGAAGCCAACCAAGGAACACAAAATTCTACCATGCCTAGAACGAGGAGCCACCCCCCCCTCCCCCCCCCACCGCTTGGTCTTCCTGTTCCACTAGCGGGTACATGTGCCCTTCTGCTTAGAACTGGATCTCGGTCACTTGCCACCAAAGATGTCAAAACACAGAGATGACGAGACCTGCACTCACCCTCTCGGGACCGATGTCCAGAGCGTCGCAGACCGTGACGGCAAAGTGTTTGGACCTTTCAAAGCTCCCCTTCCCGACACTGTAGGAGCCATCTATCAGAAACAGGACGTCCACAGCAGCTGAGCACCATATCACTGGGGGGGGAGAGGGAGACATGATGTGTGACAACTGGCTTCCCCGCCATCTGGTCCCAAGAGGGTCTCCCTCCTGAACCAGAGCAGAGGCAGAAACAACCTTGGGGTGGATCGGGCTGCTCCTCTCAGCACCTGGGCAGAAACGACACAGGAGAAGGTCCCGGCCAGAGGCAGCCCTCCTCTGGAGCAGGAAGTCTGCTCCCCCGCCCAGGCCTCGCCCACCAGCACGAAGCCCACAGTCTTCGTAATAACTGGAAATGTCTAATTCAACAACACTAACTGAGCCATAGGAGGGGAGGGCCCGCCGGGCCAGCGAGGGATCTGAAGAGCCTCGGCCCCGGCCCTCGGGGGCCACAACCTAGTTCAGACCCTGGCACATGAGGTCACATTACCCCAGAGTTCAAGTGAGAACAGCACGGACTGTGTCTTTCCTGAACACCACCCATCCAGTGCCTCCAATGCTTCACATGTGCTAACTTATTTAATTCTTATAACCACCCTAAGATAGATTGCTATTTTTTTTACTTAACAGTTTAACTGAGGCACTATTCACAAACCATTCAATTCACCCGCTGAAAGTTTATAATCCAGTGGCTTTTAGTATATTCACAGATACGTCCCATCGTTGCCACAGTCGAATTTAGCACCTTTTCCATCACCTCAAAAAAGAAACCCCGTGGCCTCTAGCTCTCAGCTCCCTAGCTCCACACCCCACCCCTAAACAGATGCGCGGTTTTTACTCCCAGTGGAGAGATGAGGAGAGAAAGGCACAGGACGATTCGGTAACTTCCCGAAGTCCAAAGTGCCAGCAAGTGAGGGGGCTGGGAAGCAAACGCAGGCTGTGTAGCTTGCAGAGGCCGCATCCCTCCACCTCAGCTCGAGGATGCAGGACAGTGGAGGTCAGAGAAGCACCGGCGAGAAGGCGCCACCCAGAAGGCGGCGACTGCGGGGGACTTCACCAGAGAGGGAGGGAAGGGGCATTCGGGGCCTCTGGGAATGGGCTGGTGGGGCGTGAGCACGTGGAGCGAATGCTGGAAAGGGCGGAAGAGGAAGGAACATGGCGGGAGGTGAGGTTGCTGGGGGGATGGTGGTCACGCGGGACTTCCAGGCAAGACCAAGGAATTCAGCCACAAGGATTAACCGAGGGTGTTCACCCCCCGTGGGAGACCTGCTCAGGCCTGTTTGGGGAAAATGGCCCTGGCTACAGCGTGAAAGGAAGACGGGAATGGGACAGGAGCGTTCTAGAATAACATAGTTTCCCTTGGGTCCATCACGCGGAGGATGAAATGGGGGGCCTGGAGGGTTGAATGACACAAAGGCTTACTTTTGCTGGCGGCTGAAATCTTCCCAATGGTCTCCCTGCTTACGTGGACTTCCTGAAGAGGATGAGATGGGCGTACTAGGAAAGAAGACACCAGAAAGAGCCATTACAGGGAGGAGTCTTAGAGTCCACATACGTGACCAGAAATGAGAGGTAATAGGAGAGAAAACTGGAATGTGGAGGAATTCAATGATGTTGTATCTCAAAAAATTACCAGAGGGACAACATAAAGAAACCCCTCCAAATACTCCAATCAGGAACCTTTGTATTTAAATTTGGGTATTCCGAAGACAAAAATTAAAAATGTACATAGAGGGGGATACAGAGAGCCCGTGAATCTCATGAGTTTTGCCCCTTGGTTAGGTATAATAACTGGGTGCCCCTCTGGGGCACAACACCTTGCCATAAAAATGAACCCTGGATATAAACATACAATTCACAGAAGAAATACAATTCGTGGACAAGCACAAGGGAAAATGTTTAAACAGGTGACGAAATGTTTTAACCCAAATAATGAGATACCCGTTCAACGGTAAAATTTAAATGATCAGCCTCTAAATTTAAATGTAACTGGGGAAAGACCCAATCAGGAAAAACTCTTCCAGGGGTGGCCCTGGAAACTGGTCCAACCCTTTTAGAAAACAATTTGGCCAAATGAATGAAGAGTCGTCAACCTGCTTACAGCCTTTGCCCCTATGGTATCGCACCTGGGAAGGGATCCAAAGGAAAACCACTTTTAGACAAGGGAAAAGGTACATCAAGGCTCTCCTTTCACGGTTGTGATGGAGAGGAAGGCTGGAGAGAACAGATATCCATAGGGACAGGGCTGGGAGTAAACTCTGATAAATTTGTTCAGTGCAATTCACATGAAAAAGAGCCAAGAAGTTTTGGGGTAGGAAGTTCATGAATACATCTTTCGTTCTTTTATACGATATCTAGTAAAATTGGAATGATGGTATATAAGCAATCAATAGCAATTTAAAACAAACTTTGGGGCACCTGGGTGGCTCAGTCGGTTAAATAAATGTCCAACTCTTGATTTCGGCTCAGGTCATGACCTCACGGTATGGGAGTTCGAGCCCCATGTTGGGCTTTGCGCTGACAGAATGGAGCCTGCTTGGGATTTTCTCTCTCTCTAACGTAGTTCCTAGCTCTCCCCACCTAACCTTCCAGCGGACGGTCTCTGCTCACCTGACACACCCGTCCCTGAATCTCTACTCACAAGGAGGCTGGTTCTGGGCCAGAATGCTGGACTAGCAGTTCCTCCGCAGTTAAGAGCCGTCACGCAAGTACCTCTGATGAGGTCTAGGACAGTTTTGCCACCAGGAGCGGAAACAAGACAAACTACAAAGACAGTCGGCTGGAGCAGAACCAGGTGGACCCAGGGTGACCGCACAGAGGCTGGGCTGCTTTGGTTGGAACAGTGGTCCAAGCACAAGATGATAGGGCTCATGCTAGGCAGGTGGCCGTGGAGTGGACAGACTCAGTTGCCTTCGGGAGACCTCCCGAAGTTAAAATTGACAGGATATGAGGCAAATCAAACCCCTCCACACCTCACCCCTGACCAAAAAGCTTACCTCCAGAAAGCAGGAAAATGAAGATGGCCTCCAGCAACGGGAAGGAAGGCATGTTGATGTAACTATGGGGCAGGGTAAGAAAAAGGTATCAGCAATTAGCTCTGTGCACCCCCCAAGTCATCCTGAAACAAGACGACAGCCGCTCAGTCTTTTCCAGGTACAACTATGACCTTGAGGCTCTTCCTCGCCACGGTGACTGTATTCGTCCAAAAAAAAGACCCAAATTCCCTCAAAAGTCACGCGAGACTACTCCAATGGCTTTGCTTTCAAAGGACAGGCTAGCATCTTCTCCAGACACCTGCCC